AAGAGAACAGTTACAGAGTTTAGTCTTAACATTTATTTGTAGCACCCAGCAGATCAACTTTTGCAAAATCCCTTTAGAAGAGTGTTTTGGTATCAGAATCATGAATAATAAAAGGGAGTTTTACATGTATACTAATTGATATTTTCTCAGTATTTTAATCTCACTACTTATCCCAGAATTTTCTGTAAACCTAACTGCTTGGTTTGCAGAGTTTTAGTCACCCTTTGACAGTTTGTAAGAATTTAGTTTGTAGATTCCATTTGGTAAGAAATTAGTATCGGAAGTAATGTTAAAATATTAACTAGGTAAAGACGTCCACTAATATAGTTTTGGTCGTTAGATTTGGGCTACTTTTAATCATGGAATAATATGTTTGTATTGGTGTAAGATTCAATGAATGACTTTAGCTGTAGGAATATAATAGTTATACTGCAAATATTTTGCATCCCTTTTGTGACCTAATTTACAAACATTTAAAATTGTGTTGCAATTTTGCTTTGCTGTTTAATAAAAAGCTGTTTCAGAGATTGTGTGTGTGTTAATACAGTAACTGTGGCGTGTATAATGGTGTAGTGGTGTATCTGGGGTGGTTCAAAGCCACAGGGGGACTAGCATATCTTATTTAAATACCAGTTACTGTATGTGTAGGGAAATATTCTTATTAAACAAATGTTATGGGGTATTTTACATAAATTTTAAAATAAAAGAATTCAGAAAAAGATCCAAGATTGCCAGGGGAAAGGTGGTTGTAATTTTTAGATTAGGCTAAGCTCCTATAACAAGAGATACACTAATAATACAGAAGTTTCTCTCCCAACTAACGGTTCTGAGGTTAAGCATTGCAGACTAGCAGGCTTTATTCCCATAATGATTCAGGGGCATGAGCTGAGGATAGCTCTGCCATCTTCAACCATGGCCTCCAAAGCACTCTGATCTCTCATTTTCAGAGAAACCGCATGGGACACATACAAAGTTGTAAGGGTCAGGCCTCCCCGGAAATGGCACATAGGTTTTTCTTACATTCCAATGGTACAGAGACTTAGTCACATCTAGATGTCTTTGGCTGGAAGCCACCGACTCCAGCTACAACTTTATCACCATAAAAGCACGTAGAGGATTTTGCTAGCAACTAGCAGCCGCAGCCCTCTTCTCTTGCTAATGAGCTTCTGTGCACAACCTTCCCCCACACAGAACATACCCAACCCCTTCTTAACCAGTTAGTGATTCAACTCAAAATCCAGGATCTCCGACAAGGTCCCTCAGTTATAGATGTGGCTTCTAATAGTCTGACAACTTCTAAACTGATGTGCAAATTATTTGGTCTCACCCTCTCCTCTGCCCATTTATAATGGGGTGGTGAGGACAGGAACCCCAAATAAAAACTCTTAACTTGGAAAATGGAATAAAGGGAAACATGTATTGATTCAAAGATTCAAATCAACTGTAGGATATTGCTGGGAAACCCTGAGTAGAGTCTGTCCCCGAAGGTGGAGCAACAAGTACCTTGATCAGACCCTGATCCTGCTCCCTGGCAAGGGACTCCCTTGTTTGTTACCCTCAGTGGCTTCCACTCTGCAAAGTTCACTCTTACCCACTTCTCTCCATGGCTCTATCTGAAGTAGGGGCTGGGAGTGTGCCTTGTATGGGAGTTGTGGAAACAGTGCACTTATTGCTGGCATGAGCTTGGTGCCCATTGTTTTAGGGCCAAGCTCACATTTCTTGAGCAGTAAAATTCCCTCAAAAGTTCTCTATGTTTCTAGTTCCACATGTTAGGAATCACAATCGAGCAGAGCACTTTTCTAGACCAAATTCTCCAAGTGTGCTTTCCTTGTCCCAGAACCCTGCCTCTCTTCAGTGGAGGCTACCTTGAGACCAACTGAAAGGAAGACTGCACTGGGAACGCTACACCCAGCTCATCACTGCAGGGGGTGGATCCCTTTGGCTTAACAAGGGGCAAAGAGGACTTTCTGGGCTTCCCTCGCAGCCTCCCACACTTCAAAAAGAAGACAATCAGACTTTTTTATTATTATTATTCAGGGTACAAAAGCACTTGGCTTTTCTCATCCTTTGGAGTTCCTAATAGCTGATGTTTCTCTATTCCTCTCTGCTTGGGAGACTGCCCACTTCTTTCATGTTATGTCTTGCTAAAAACATCAAGGACCAGGCAATTCATTTTATTCTGACTTTTCCAACTGCTACCCATAGAGCTATCAACTCAGTGGGTGACAAAATGTGACCTGAAATACAAGTCCCACCTGCTTGTCATGTGAATGGTAAACCCGTGCTATATATACATTTTGTTTTCCTTCAGCATCTCACTTCAGGCTATCAATTTCTGTATTAGGAATATAGACGGGGGGGGGGGCGCCTCGGTGGCTCAGCAGTTGAGTGTCTGCCTTAGGTTCAGGGACTGACCCTGGGTCCCGGGATCGAGTCCCACGTGGGGCTCCCTGCAGGCAGCCTGCTTCTCCCTCTGCCTGTGTCTCCGCCTCTCATGAATGAATGAATAAATTCTTACAAAAAAAAAAGGGCAAGAAAAAAAATATAGAGGGTAAGCTGTATGCACAGGGACTGCATCTGACATAGACTCTCTCCGAGACCAAACTTCAACCAGGCTCTTCTGAGCCTTGTAGCCTGGACCTCATCATAGGCCCTCTCTCTGGCCTATGCCAGTTTTCGAAAGAACGCTGCTAAGTCACTTTAGAAAGACCCCCCCCCCCCACTCTCAGCATCTGATCACCCTGGTTTGCCAAGGTGAAAACAGTTTAGCAAGCATCCCTCTACCCTTGATGTCTCCTCTTAGTAATTTTCCTCTCCCTGGATTTTGCTAATTGACTTTAAATCCCCAGTTGTCTTTGCTGTCTCTGGAGTTGATCCAAGTACCTCTGCCCTACTGCTACAGTCTTGGGCACCTCCTGTAGTAGAATAAAGTCTTCCTCACTGTTTAACAAGGGTCAGGATCAATTTTTTCTTTAATACTTGTAGCACTAAATGCTGGTGGAATGATGACTGGCAGGAAAACCAGCACACTTCTCTCCTAAACCACCTCTTCCCCAGTAGGACTCCCCTCAATACTGATAATAGCATTCCATCCAGAATTTGTCCTCTTTATATACCCTTTGGACTTTATTTATAGCAAGTTAACTATAGATCATATCCCTCATCTGGAGTTCTTGGGACCAGATGTTTCAAAATTTAGAATTTTTCATATTACACAAAGTATTACGAACAAGATTTGGAGAAGCACCTATAATCAAATACATTAACATTTCCATAGCAAATAGATGAATTTAATACTAGGTACGATAAAGGCCCGGCAGAGAGGTCAGGTTTGGCTGCCAAATGAATTTTGGTGTCAAACATGAAAACCCTGCAACTTTTCACAGACTTTTTGATTTTTGCAACAAAAATGTGTGCAGAAAAATAACCAAAATCATCTAAGCATGTAACCCCTACCAGTTGATAATGTCACATTTCTATTCCTGTCTGTCACTCTTCCCTTTGATCTTGCCCTTTTTTCCAAAAGAAAAACGAGACGATAGAATAGAAAACAGAATCCAAAACTAACTTTGTGGTCCAAGGCAAAACAAAACCATCTTAAATCTGAAGAAAGTAAAATCTTTCTTCACTTTGCCCGGGCAGTTTCTCCCTGTCTGGAGTTAACACCCTCTAGTGGTTGTCCGTAGACACTTCTCCAGCACTGAAATAATCAATTACCAGCTAAGACCGAGATGACTTCAGTTAAGACCATTTGCAAATCACGAAAGAACAGAAAATGTGATTACATTCAAATTTAAGAATTGGTAGAGAGAATGACTTTACAGCCTCTTAGCTACTCTGTCTGCAAAACAACTACAGTTTATTTCTCTTAAATCGTAGATTTCATGGTGTTTAAACACAAATTTACCATAACAAGAACTTATGTTGTTGGCCTTAGGATCTAATTTCCCTTATAATGGAGATGGATGGTGAGGAGTGAGGACAAAAGTAAAGTAATGCAGTAGAAACACTGGTATAATGTATTTACCTCGTTTTAGGTTTTATATATTATTTATAGATGGCTTACCAAGTGTTTACATTATTAAAACTTGAGAATAAAAAAACAAAACAAAAAACAAAAAAAAAAACCGAGAATATTCCCAAATTTTACAAAGAATGTAAAATTGTGTTCATTTAACAAACTCCAACTACATGGTAAGATACTATGCTAGGGGTTAAAATAATCCAATAATCCATTTGCCCACCTTCTCTAAAACTGCCATTACTCTTGCATGCATTTGGATTTCCAGAGAAAAACTCCAACTGCACTCTAAGATACATTTCCTCTCATCAGCCTACATCCTCTGACATGCCAGATTAAGGATTTTATTTCCAAAACTCTTCACGGACATCATATATGGGAATGCATGAGAGCTAAAACTTAGGATGAGATTGTTAAAACTTAAGTAGAAATGTTATCACTCATTTACATCAGAGACTGAAGTAGTTACCAGATAGTAGCTATGTGATATGCATCCCTAATTCCTGCAACGTCAATATGTAGTCATGATCAAAGAGAATGAAAAACTGTACATGCCTAAAGTGTAATATATTTATGTCTTAACTATTCTGAATAGGTTTTGTCGAATACAAAACTATTTTTTGGATTAATGTTCTAAATTTCTAAGATACAATAAACCCACTGCTAGTGGTTAATTATGAGGTCTAAGCAGTTCCATCCTGTATCTCAAAAACATGGCCTGACACTTCAAAAAGGCTACTAATTCTAGTAATATGGGTATTCCTAGAGAAACGAGGAATGGAAGCAAGGCTATCTTAAAAAGATATTGAAGAAAACGGAAGCTACATTAGCCTGGTCAAGTTAAAAAGCCCCTGAAAAGGCCAACTAAAATAAAGAAAAGCAAAATACATTTATTTTTCTCCTTTATTAGAGAAAAGGATAAAAATTAAGTCATTTTAAACAGAATAGGGTGGTAAAAGGAAAAGGTAAAAGAATTTTGCTTGTTATTAAGAAGACTGTGCTTTGTCTACTACATGGATCTAGCATATGTACTTATATAAATAAAAGTTTACGTTTTGGTTAAACCTATCAGCCGTGATACATCCATAGAGGGTCCATCCACAGGAAGTAGCAGTGCGCTGGCAAAACAGGTTGCTCAGATTTTACCAGTGCAAGCTCATGGAGTTTAACCAAACACTAAAAGTAAAATGAATCTGCAACCAAGAAAGAAAAAAAACTTTAAAAAAATTTAAAAAAAAAAAGAAAAAAACTTTAATAAATCTATAGGAAAAAATGTTCACATACAAGACACTTGTCAAGCAAAAAGGTTTCCATAAAATTAAGGATTTATCTCTTGAAGTAGTTTACCTTCAGAAACAGTGTCCTCTAGAATCACTCAATATGTCTAGCTCATTTGGATGTTCCAAATACAAAGCAAGAAAGGGAGCCTTTGCAAGATGTGTAAAGTTCAGTTAGTATTAAATAAACATAAAATATGGTTAACTATTAAGATTTTCCACCACCAATTACGAAGTCGGTACATAGCAATGAGAATAAAGCACTTATTTTCAATTCACTTTCTGAAATAAGGAGAGAATAGTATTACTGGCTGTTTGGTTTAACGTAAGTAAAAAGAGAAGCGCGAGACTCATTTTCCTTATACATGGGCTCTAACTGTACTGCTAGGGAGCAGGCTGTATGGGAACGGAGCTGGAGCCTGCCCAAGGATGGAGGGTATATGCACACAAAGAAATCCAAAATATTACCCAGTAGTTGGTGTAAAGTTCCCTAGATAGTATCAAAGTAGTTCCATGGTCTCAAAGATTCAAATCCCCTTCCAAAGGGTCTAGCCTATTACCCAAACATAAAAAGTTCTTAAAATATTTTAAATGGAATAACACAGCTCCATTATAATGTAGTTCTGTGATTTCTGGTAACTATTTTAAAAAAGAGGAGAAATACCTACTATCTACCTGAGAGGCAGCTTTGAAGCTAAGAATAGATTTGAATTTGTCAGGAAAAAAGATAAAAAATACAAAGCATGATGATTGATGGCTTAGCTATTAGAATCTCTTAATGACCAGGAAAGAGAAAATAATTTAAAGCTTCCCCCTTGATACTTTACCTATTAAGAGGGTATAACTTAAAGAAGAAAAAATATCTAAATTTTACTTTCAGGAACAACGTATGCATAAGCAATCTTCTGAGTGTAGGGTAAGCCTTTCTGGCATAAAGCAATTATAAAAGCTTAAAAAGTATCTGTACACCATTATATTGTGATGAACCTATTATCTTTGAATTCAAATGTAAAATATGCTGCACTATTAACCAGTGATTCTATGAATGACACGTAGACATTTCTGTTTTGCTGACTTGTCAACAAAGCACCTCTTTAAAGAAATCTATAATTTAAGTGAACAATAGGTCATAACTGTAATTTGACACAACTAAGCAAATGGGGACACATACAACTCTTTAAATTGTTGATAGAGTCAAACAACCATACAGAAACTTTATTGCAGTTAGCTCTGTACAACAGAACACACTCTCATTTTTATTATAGAACTACCAGTTATATTGTTGTATAGCTGTTTAAGAGGAAATTCCAATAACTGATTTTCCAACAGCAGCAAAGCTGCATATTATTTTGCTCTGTACAAACCAAAACTTTCTCCAACTATTAAAATTTGGTAACTTCTAATGGTATTAGTCTCTTAAATCTGATACGTAACATGTCCCTCTTTTTTACTCTAAATTCAAAGACCAGGTAACTTGAAAGTTTTTTTTTTCCTGAAAAGAAAGACTAAAATAAGTGTCTAAAAGAATAACATTGCTAGATATTAGAAACATGTGCAGACTGACTCAAGTTCAGCTCTGGCACACTGATTTTAGAATGCCAAGTATCTCGCTCAGGAATTAAAAATACTTGAATATAGTTTATTCCTTCCGTACTCTTCTTTTGCGCACTGACTTCACTGGCCCATCTCCAGATCCTGTGCTCTCATCCGCTTCTCTCATCTAGAAGAAAGAATTGTGCAAATACTTGTTTTCATACAATGGGTGAATAGTAGTAAATAACAGATTTCTTATCCTCTAAAATACAAGTTCTAACAAATGCTACCATACATGTGGTCTTTAATGCATGAAGCTGATCAAAAGTGTTATACATAAATTAGTGTGTTTTATTTTGCTCACCTTTTGGCATGATTACATTTTCAGAATAACTCTGCTTATCAAATATGTCTCTGACAGGGAATACTACTAACAACTGAATTCATGATTTTATCATTTAGAATTTAATCTGGTTAATTCAGGGCTAGATGATCTTTTCACTGTGGGATCTTAAACACTAACTTCATCGTGATAGCTCTATAAGTAATGAACTGCTGAGTTAGATTTGCAGAGACTTTTTCAGAACTTCTGGCACATGGTACTTTGAGAAAATTAGGAGAGGGGAAAGGAAACATCACGTTTATAGTTTGGGTTTTTTCTTTCCTTATCCAATAAGCACTCGTACATAAGTTAAACTTGTGTAACAAAACGAAATAATGAAGGTATTGTATGGTATTTTACAGATAGTTTTTATTATTTTTCAAGGTCATACTATACAAAAGTTGGCTTACTTTAACTCCCTAACATATAAGAAGACTAAAAGACAAAGACAGAAAAAGGTACACAAAATATCTTATGAAGCAAAATATAACTACATATTCAAATGAATACTGCAAGTTTTCAAAATTGCAATCAATATCAATCAGTATCGATATTGCAAGTATTATTATTAAGAGTGACAGGTGAAACTATGACTGTTTAAAAACTCTGTCCTGGAAATCATCTTCACTCAGCTTCCTCTATTATGGACATTCAGACTAATGTTCCCCCAAAACCCCTTTAAAAACTCACAAAGCAATTAAGACCAGTAACCAAGTACATATACTGAATAAGCTTTAGAAAACAAACAACAACAATAAAACAAAATTTGAGAGATTTCTTCAAACAGATAAAACAGAAAGTTTATGTCATCACGTACAGGAGCACAGGCAAAACTGTGCTCTTACCCTAACCTAGCACTGAGTAAGAAGGGTGATGAGGATGGTGACCGCGGTAGGGTGATGTAGCCCCTGACGGTTAGCAGATAGAATGGGCCTTCGATAGGTTTCTCCTGGGCAAAAGGAGAAAGCTCTGGGTCTGAAACACATCCTGGATGGTTTCTGATTCCGTAATAACTGACTAAAAAACGGGCACTGTGGAAAGTTCTGCATCAGGATGCAGGAAGGCGTAGACATATTAAGGTAATGGAAAAACTAGTTTATTAAAGATTTGAGAGAAAAAAAAAAAACACCGTATCAGGCAGATAGTAATCAACTACCCAATGAATGAAATATTACAAAATGTGACAATAAATTATTCAGACCATGAGAATGTTTTTATAATAGGTAAAGAGAAAATCATCTTATAATAAACAGAATTACCTTTTAAATATTCAAGTGGTCTGTTTATTACAATTTTCAAGAGAGTATTTTTATGATACAGTCATAATTTTTTACAGATGCAGCTCTCTGTATTTTGTAAACCCCTGGCTTACTTTATACTGTTTCTCATTAGGCATTAAGATGATAAAAATTACAGTATTTTCTTGTCCTTTTTTTTTTTTAAGATTTCATTTATTTATGAGACACAGAAAGAGAGGCTAGAAACACAGGCAGAGGGAGAAGCAGGCTCCATGCACGGAGCCCGACGCGGGACTCAATCCTGGGTCTTCAGGATCAGGCCCTGGGCTGAAGGCAGCGCTAAACCGCTGAGCCACCCGGCTGCCCTCGCCTTCTTCATGGATACATTTTAAAAACAATATGCAGGAACCTATGAAAACTTGGGAGAAATATGGCCAATATTTGCACAGTATGGCCGTGAAAAATATTCTCTATAACCAGACTGTTTTGATTAAAATAATTTTTCATGAAAAAAAATAAATTTTCATGGATAATTGTACATAAAATCTAGTGTATTTTCTGTTAAAGAGCTGCTTACCTCATCCTCTGATCCAGACTTATTTGATTTATTACCTTCTTCTTGTCCTTCTATGATTTCAATTTCTTCTTCACTCTTTTCCTCAGGTTCAGCTTCCTCTTCTAGAATACAGATTTTTATTACAGGCAAAGACTTGCATTAAAATTTTGCTACTGAGAAGCATAAATAGGATAAGGAAGATTTATTTAAATTCCAATATCTAAAAGCAATTTCTATCACTTGAAATTTCTAAAAAATTAATTGCAAATATTATTTTATAACATTTTGTAAATGAATCATTATGTTTGAGGGAAGAGACATGTTTAAGAAATTCTTAAGTATTCAGTCTACATGTAATGCAAAAAGCATGTATGTATGTATGTGCATGTATATGGACACAAATATAAATATATATATGTCCAAATTTTTTTTCAGAGTATGATTTTTAAGTCAACTGTTTCATCAACTATGAAGTTAAAAACAGTGCTTAAGACATAATTTCAGTTGTAAGGACTCAATCTGGAGCTTGGCTTGGGACACCTGGCAAACATCAACAGTTTTACTTCTACCTAGATGAGTGCAAGACCCACCAAAAACCTCACTTCTTCAGTTCTAACATGTTTAGGAGTTTAGTATAAGGTGGGAAGGAGACATATGATTAGCAGTTCTTTTGAGCCATTAAATTATTCATTTGATAAGATAAACTATCTGATGAATAAACAGTCACTAAAGGACTTGGTGTTGATTTTATGGTCACAATTAACTGGCCTTAAACCTATTCTTCTCCTAGAGGCTGTGCTGTCTGTACTTCCCATCTCACCTACATTCCTGGTGGCAAGAAAAGTCCGGGCAAACAGCTACAACACATGGGACTCATACTTGCTCTTAAAACTCTTCCTAGAAAACAAGAACTGTAAGCAGGATGGCTGCTCAGGGTACAACACCCAGGCGGGGGGCATTACTCACTCCTCCTTGCCAAAGTCGCGGATTCATGGGGATTCAGATGGTATATATTTGACAATAAGCAAGTGTAACAGCTACTGTTTACCAAATACTCTGCTCTTTTCATGAACTAGGGTCCCCATTATAACTCACTATTACACTATCCTACCTTTGTCCCCATTATAACTATCATTATCCTACCTTTTTCAACAGTTTCACCATCACTTTGCTTTTTTTCTTCTTCCAAGTCTACTGGTTTCTCCAGGGCAGCTTTCTTTTCCTTCACTTCTTGCTCTAGTGCTCCCTTTGTTTGTGGCTTGCATATGTCAGTCTTTTTATACTCTGAATCTTCATATTTTTTCTGTGGTAGTTTAACATAAGCTATTTTTAGTAAAAGCAAAGCTTTATTTTTTAAAAGGGTTTTGTTTTTGTTTTTGTTTTTGTTTTGCAACAACTGATATCAAATACAGTGACTCAGCAGTAAAAACCTAGAGGACATTTAGCTTATTGCGTCTATACTTGCTCAACAGAACTCCTAAACACTATGACATTTATTTTACATTGAAGAAAATTCCATTTCTTTACCTTGACTTTTCTTGGCCAACAAAATGAAGCAATTAATGCTATTGGAAGCCCTGCTGTCACAAAATAAATGAGCCAAAGCCATGGGCGCTCTTCAGCAGCTGCCATTAACTGTTTAAATATACCAGGCTATAGAAGAAATAAGCATAAAAATAAAATTCAGATTTTATAAACATTCACTAGGAAATACAGCCTATAAAAAAGCCAACTTAGTTTACACAGGTGTTTATTAAGGAGTGATGAACTTGTAGGCTAAAAATATTTTCCCATCTTATACTCTGTACAGTTTATTTCTTTTTTAAAGATTTTATTTATTTATTCATGAGAGACACAGAGAGAGAGGCAGAGACATGGGTAGAGGGAGAAGCAGCTCCCCATGGGGAGCCCAATGCAGACTCAATCCCGGGACTCCATCTGGTACTTCAGGATCACGCCCTCAGCCCAACTGTGGAGCCACCCAGGCGTCCCAACATACTGTACAGTTTAAACTCTATTAGTACGTATCACTGTTTGAGATTTTTGTAGCAGAAGATATGTTACTACATAGGTAGAAATCACTAACCTACCAGCAAGAATTATAATTTTATTTTTTAGTAAGCTTAAGGATAGAACTACTCCTTCATTTAGATGTATACAATGCTCTGATAATTCATTCTGTACTTTTAAAGAACTTATTAATAAGATCAACCTGGGAATTATGGTGTTTTCCTTTTCATTAACAAATTTCACACGCAACCTTCAGTGAGGAAACTGTTTCTCTTAAAATCTAAAATGATTAAATGTTTTAATTTAAAAAGTTTCCATATGAAAACCCCTTTACCTACTCTATTGATGGCTTTTGTCCAAAGATACCAAATGTAAGGTATTTTTTTCTTATAGTAATTGATTTTAAAGATATATTCTCCAAGGTGCATTGTGTTGAAATATTTGTAAATAGTGTTAAGATTTGAGTAAAAAAGCACTGAACATAATAATAATGAATTTTAAAATTCTCTGTACTCCTCTAAGTGAAAAGTAGTTAAAATTCATAAAGAATACTATTTAGATTACTATTACACTTCGGCCTTGAATTGACAACGTGATCAGGATATTAAGTAGTATCCTTATAAACAGCAAGTAGGCAATTAAATCCCATTATGCTATCATAATTTAATGAAGACATACACACATATATATATAGTTCATGATGAACTTGCATCATAATAAGGCTAAATATTTTACCGACAAATTTATTTAAGTACATGTAGTAATGACTACATATTCATTTACCTTTAAAGGGTCATTTGTATAACCTATAATCAGGACCAAGTCCTGTGACTACTCTACGGTAAATACTGTACCTCGTTAGCATTTGCTACCAGTATCTTCACTCCCCACCCATCTGCAGCCCAGCGATCTGCTGTTTCCTTTTCTGAGCAGATAATAAAATTATCAAAGTAAATATTAGAGGTCATAGACCAAAGCTCTAAACCAAGAGCACGGAAAGAAGTCAGAAGAAATGGATGATCATCTTCAAAATAATCTGGATTCGGGATTTTTCGAGGACTCCAGATTCCCTAGAAGAAAATATAATTTAAAGACATTTTCAAATAAAATAATCTCATTATAAATGCTATTCAAGAAGCCATTGCTGTCGAGGAGACACCTGGGTGGCCCAGTCAGTGAAGTATCCAACTCTTGATTTCAGCTCAGCTAACGGTTGCAGGGTTGTGAGATCAGCCCCATGTCAGGCTCCAAGCTGGATGTAGAGCCTGCTTGGGGTTCTCTCTCTCCCTCTCCCTCTGCCCCTCCCTCGCCTCTCTCTCCCCCCTCCCCCACCCCAGCATGCACTCTCTCTATCTCTCCTAAAAAAAAAAAAAAAAAAAAAGGCATTACTGTTGAATGAAATCAGCAGTACTAATTGGAAAAAAAAGAAAACATTAACTGACATGAATTCATTAGCAACTTATTGGAAATAAATATGTTTCTTCTCATTCTGTACACAATGTTCCCTATGAATAAAACTGACCTGAAACTGCAAAAAAAAGGCAAAGTGAAAATCCAACACACAGAAACTTGGGTAATTAAATTTCACTAGTAACTGATACTATTTTTAGATAAGTATTTTTACATTTAGTAAAGCTATTCAAGGCAAGAAGTCATTTGCCCAAATCAGAGAGATCATGGTATGGAAAATATGAAGACACTTATTTTAATTTTTTTATAAAGTACCTTTTAAAAAATTATTTATTTATTTGAGAGAGAGCACAAGCAGGGGTAGGGGCAGAGGGAGAGGGAGAAGCAGACTCCTCATCGAGCAGGAAAGCAGATGGATGTGAGACTCTATCCCAGACCTCCAGGATCCTGACCTGAGCCGGAGGCAGACGTGAAGCCACTCCTCTTACCATATACTCACCATGGGCATCAATTATCAGACATGGTTGAGCCTCAGAAAAAAAAAACCTCAACATAAAAGTTCCACTAGATTTTAAATGATTAAACTTAACCAAATCAAAAAAATTCAACAATATGATTACTCATTCACTCCGCCATCATATGTATCTATTCTGTGCCAGGCACAGGGCCAGATGCTAGGGACAGAATGGCGCAGTCAAGAAAGACATGGATCCTCTATTATTAAATCTAAAGTAATGAGGGAGACAGAGATTCAACAAAGAAGTTACCAAAATAAATATTCTGTGATAAATGCTACAAAAAAAACCACAGTAAACAAATTGGAATATGTCACTGCATCCATATAATAAATATTAGAAAATATCAATGAGTAATTAAATGAAACTACAGGGTTAAATGGACAACACAGATATTTCTACCCAAAAATCTAGGTACAATCAAAAGATATCTAATTCATATTTTAAAAAATCTATAGTTTAACAGCACCAGAAAGTAAGGAGCACATTAATTAAATACAGGCATTAATTACGAAAATGTACAACGTGAGGTCTTCTGATCAGTACTCATTTCTTATGTCTAATTCTAAAATAGAATCAGAGTGATCATCAGTTACCAGGGAAAAATATAGTATGAAGTCACTGATCTTTAGTTCTTAATATCATTCCCCCAGAAAAATCACATAAAGAATACTTAAAATTTTTTTAAAAGTAAACTCTATGCCCACCATGGGGCCTGCACGCATGAGGCAGAAATCAAAAGTCACATACTCTATGGACTGATCCAGCCAGGTGCCCCAAGAATACTTTACTTTTTAAATATAAATTAGTTGGAGTCTATTTTCTTTGACTTCTTAAATAGTTAATGCATACCATTACAAATCAAATTTCTAAAAGTTAACATTATTTTTTAAAGTATTTTATTTATTTATTTACTTATTTATTTAAGAGAGTGAGGACAAGCAGGGTATTGGCAGAGTGATAGGGAAAAGCAGACAACCCACTGAACAGGAAGCTGGAGCCAATCCCAGGACCCTGGAATCAGGACCTTAGCCAAAGGCTTAACCGATTGCGCCACCCAGGCATCTCCCAACATGACATTAATAACAACTAGATACATAATAGAAATATCACAGCATTTTAAATTTACTGTGGAATTGGAAGAAGTGGATATTACCTGGTAGTTAGGATTATCTATCATTGGAGGTCTCCATACTCCTTTGTATTTGGGATTATCTATCATGGGAGGTGACCACTCACCACACCCAATTCGACATGCTGGATTAGAAATACGAGGTGCCTCCCATTCTCCATCCATGTCTTCATTCCTTAGGAAAGTAGGGGAAAAAATTCAACATAAAAGCTTTACAGATGAAAATGTGTATCTACGCATTTATAGTGACCTCATGTATAGTAGCTTCAAGTCTCTCCTGTAAGTCACATGAACTAGTAGCAAAAAGCAAGAAAGAAATTGACATTTGAAGATGAAGAATATTTACCAGTCATCAGGTTTTTCAGCATTTGGATCTGGAATAAATTTTGGTTCATCATCAAGCCAGCCATCAGGTTTGACAACACTTAAATCTTCTATTTGGGCAGGTTCACTTTCATCCCTGGAAATAGAGCATTTTGTGCCAAGTGTTAATTATTCACAAAGTTTAAAAATACATATGTTACAAAATTCAGAAGATATTCAACCGGTATTTCCTACCCTTCTGTCTTTTGTGCCTACTACCTCCCCCATCTCTCATTCGCCAAAATCTTCTGCTAACTTGTCACTTTTTATTTTTTATAATTTGTTTTAAAATTATTTATTTATTCATGAGAGACACACACAGAGAGAAGCAGAGACACAGGCATAGGGAGAAGCAGACTCCTCCTGGGGAGTCTGATGTGGAACTTGATCCTAGGACTGCAGGATCACAACCTCAGACAAAGGCAGACACTCAACCACTGAGTCACCCAGGTGTCCCGTAATTTAGTATTTTCATTTAAAAACACTTAGAAAACAAATTCTAAAATATATAAAAATAATCATAGTAAGTACTGAATAGAACTACTAATGATAGTTTTCATCTTTTAGAAAAGTAAAAATTTTAAACAAGAGGTTACAGTATGATTTTTCAAACAAACCTAAGTAAGATAAACTCAAATAATCAACTCCCTGTATGTAAAGACTTGTACTTGCCTGATATCAATGTTATCTTAAGTCTCTCTGGGTTCAGAGTAACTAATAGAGTTTAAAATTTTAAGGGAACATTTCTTTTAGCAGTTTATAAAACAAATTCTAACAGGTATCACCAATCAGAAAGAGGTTATCATAACCCATTTCTCTTATTTAAGGGCAAACTTCTTTCTCAGCCTTAGTTTTTATGGGTAAACAAATATGAAGCAATGTAAGACAATCCACATGAAGGGATGCAGTCCTATCCTTTTCTGAAAGTGAATTCATGAAAGTTATGCATTAATAAGTGACTTTTTATTAGTTTTTAAAAAAACTATACTGTTCTTCCTACCTTATAAAGGTTTTTTTCCCCATTATACTATTTGCTTGAAGGCAGACATTTTTATCACTAATAAGAATCTCTCTTTATCTACAAGAGAGTTAACAAGTAAACACTTTTGGTTATCCAGAAGCAACACTCTTATTTCTGAGCACGTAGTAACCCCAATGTTTACAAACAAGTAAGAATTTGAAATAGGAGTAGACATTTTCCAAAATGAAGCAGAGAGAAAAAAATTGGTTTAAAAAAATGAACAGGGGTGCCTGGGTGGCTCAGTCAGTTAAAGTCTGCTTTTGGCTCAGGTCATGATCCCGGGGTCCTGTGACTTCGCCTTGAGCCTCTCATCAGGCTCCCTGCTCAGCAGGAAGTCTGCTTTCCCTCTGGCCCTCCCCATCCTGCTCCTGCCCGCCCCCCCCCACAACAAATAAAATCTTTTAAAAAATGAATAGATCCTCAGTAACCTGTGACACCATGTAAATGTAAACATACATTTTACATAATGTTCCAAAGAAAGGGGAGACACATATAAATATTTAAAGAAATAATGGCCAAATATTACCCAAATTTGATACAAACTATACAGCTACATCCCAAAAAGCTCAGAAGCAAAGTAAACCAAAGCAAACACATACACACAAAACCAAACTGTTGAAAATCAGTAATAATAAATCTTAAAACCAAACAGGAAAAAATTACATATTAGGTAAAGGAGAAAAAGGATGAGAATAACAACTGACTTATCAGAAACAATTCAAGCTTCCTCAAGACAACGCAAGAAATTATGGTTTTAAAATAACTATCGGGCAGCCAGGGTGGCTCATCGGTTTAGCTCCGCCTTCAGCCCAGGGTGTGATCCTGGAGACTGGGATCCAGTCCCACATCGGGGTCCCTGCATGGGGCCTGCTTCTCCCTCTGCCTGTCTCTCTCTCTCTCTCTCTCTCTCTCTCTCTCTCTGTGTGTGTGTGTGTGTCTCTCATGAATAAATTAAAAAATAAAATAAAATAACTATCAACCGATAATTCAATAGTAAAAACATCCTTCCAAAATTAAGGTAAAATAAAGTTTCAGATAATTAAAAGTTGAGAGGATTCAATGACAGCAGACATATGCCACAATATGTTGGGAAGTTTACTAGGCAGAAGGAAAATAATAACAGATGAAAATGTGTATCTACAGAAAAGAAGAGTACCAGAAATGATAACTGTGAGGGTAAATAAAAGAACTTTTCCCCTAATAATTGTCTGATTAAAAGACACTGACTGCAAAATAAATATGTGTGGCCTTCATAGTATAGATAGAAGGAAGTGTATGATAGCAGCATGAAAGAGGAAAATATAAGGCCCTTATAAGATTAACCTAGACGTAAAGTGGTATGATGACAGTAGACTGAAATAAGTTAAAGATGAACATTATAAATCTTACAGCCACCCTAAAACAGTAAACCACAGAGGAAAAGGTAATATGCCAAGAGAAAAGAAAAAATAGGAGACTAAAATAAAACAAAATAACTTAGTCTAAAAGAATTTAGGGAAAAAACCTTATAAAGGACCACAGAATATATGGGACAAACAGAAAACAAGTAGTAAGAAAAGAAAATAAGCATAATTTATATCCAACCATATTAATAATTACATTAAATGTAGATGGTTTAAAACACTCCACTTAAAAGACAAGCTCCACATATAGGTTGCCTACTAGAAAATCAGTTTAAAAATAAAGGTATACATAGCTTACAGGTAAACAATGGAAAATAATATTCAATGGAAACATGATTTAAAAGAAAGCAGGACTGTTGACTTAGTATGAGACTAAAACAGACATCAAGACAAAAAAGACAGAAATCAGATCATTGGTTATAGGAGATAAGGGTGGGAGGAACTGATTACAAATACAAGGGACCTTATGGGGGTGATGGAAATATTCCATATCACGATTGTGGTAGTAGTTACATCACTGTCCACGTCTGTCAATACACATGGAACTGTATATCTAAAATAAATGAATTAACCTACATGAAAATCATATTTTGATAAATCTGACATGCAATTAGAATCCAGGAAATATAAAAAGTCAATATTTGCTGACAACGAGGACTGCTGCAACGTTAGCCTAATATTGAAAATCAATCACTATAATACACTATACTAAAAAAATAAAAGAGAAAACCCACATGGTCATCTCAATGGCTATACAAAAGCACTTTATAAATCCAACACCCAATTATGGAAAAAAAAAACACAAAACTCATTAAACTAAGAACAGAACTTTTTAAAATCACAGTGAGTGGGGCACCTGGGTGGCTCAGTTAAATGTCCAACTCTTGATTCTGGCTCCGATCATGACTTCAGGCGCGTGAGATGGAGCGTGGATCCTGCTTAATATTCTCTTTCTCCCTCTCCCTCTGCCCCTTTCCCCTCCAAAATAATAAAAAATAAGATCATACTTACTATCTATACTTTTGTGTAGTCCCCTCCCAAATGTACCAGGCAGGTTAGTCCGAAATGTGACAAACAGAATCAGCTGAGGTGCTCAAGTGAGGACAGGTCACTTCAGAGATAGGTTATAAAAGACATTACAATTTCTGTGGTTGCGCTTTCTCTCTCCCTTCGGGGGAGCCAGAAGGAGAGGCCACCTGGCGAGGCACTGAAACTTCATGACAACAGCCACATAAGCCCGTGGTAGCTTATGTGAAGCAGATCCTCCAGTAGCTAGAGTCAAACCTTCAGATGAATGCCTGAGTCCAACCTCAGGAGAGAGCCTGAGCAGAACCAGTCAGCTAGCCACTCCCAGTTTCCCGACCCCTAGGAACTGAGTGAGTTAGGATGAGCCAGGGTGAACAAAAATGGTATCTCTTGCCATCTGAGCTCAAAGCTATGGGAACTCAGGAACTGAGTACATTTAAGGAAAAAAACTCCTAATCCTGTAGAATGAAAACAACACAAATACTCAGCTAAGCAATCTAGTATGAGTGAGTCCTATATAGTTGTACACAATCTTGAACATATGGGCATTTTAAGGCCAGTAGTCATTAACTGAAAAGACTATATATTTTATACAGTATACATGATAAAGATCAAACTAGGAATTAAAATTAAAGTGTTGGTGTTTTAGATTCACGGAATCCTCCCTATCCTCAGCGTTAGAAACATAACAAATATTGAAAAAGACAACAAAATAAAAATATTAATTAGAATGAAAATTAAGATAATTAAAAGGTAAGGATATACAAAATCTATTTTGTTTTTTTTCGGGGGGGGAGGGCTGGTGTATAAGGGTAGACGGAGAGAGAGAATCTTTAGCAGGCTCCATGCCCAGTGCAGAGCCCAACAACCCTGAGATTGATCTCACAACCCTGAGATCATGACCTGAGCTGAAATCTAGAGTCGGGCAGATGTTTAACTGACTGAGCCACCCAGATGCCCCAACAAAATCTATCGTAGAAAAATGCTTCACCCCAAATAGTCAAAATATATAATTTTGATGTTTAAAAGAGTATGCTTCACTGGTTGTAAACTTCGCTTATATGCAGCATCTCATCACTGAATTACACCAGCTAATGCTTTGCTACTGAATTCTTCGCTTACCAGTCTTCTGGTTTGACAGCAGAAGGATCAGGGATTTTTGCTCTTTCATCCCATTCATCGGGCTTTTTATCACTGGGATCTTCAATTTCTTTGGGAGGATTGATAGGAGGAACCACATCTTCTAGGAGGCTTCCTTGGTTTACAACTACTTGATCAATTAGTACTTCAAATGTGTCATCTGGATTCATTACTAAAGACCAATTTAAATATATTATTACACTTATCAGAATGACTGACATTTTCAAGACCATCTTCTAAATAATAAAATTACCCTAAATTCCATGGGTAAATATTTTTCTCAACCAGAAATAGAGGAATTACAATATATTAAATCAAAACATCCTGAGATCACCAGGTATAATGTTTTCTAAAACCAAAGATAAAATTTTGTCCTAAGTAATAATAATTTAATAAAATCCTCCATTACTTCTCAAGTAAAGAATATCCAATAGCTAAGTCAGTTTGGCACTCACACAACCAGTCAACTTCACTTTTGTGTAATTACAGAATGCAACCCAATCTTCTTCAGCATTTCAAAATAACTTTTTTGAAACCATCTCAAACTTCAAAAGTCACCAAGTGCACTATAAGGAGCTTTTTTCAAGAACCACTTGTAAGTTACTGACCTCATATACATCATCCTGGAATGCTTTAATGTATATTTTCTACATACGAGGACATTTTCCTACGTAACGCCAATCTAGTTACCAAAATCAGAAAATTCACATTGATACATTACTACCATTTCCTAGAAAGTTTTAAAGTTCATTGACACTTCAAATTCAATGATTCATACACTGTAGTGTATCTTAAGGCTGACTGAGAATATTCAAGCTCACACGTTTGTTCGGAGGTGAGTTCTAACTCTCTAAAAGTATTCAAGCCAAAAGTTTCATAAAGAACCCCCTTTTCTATTGTAATGACAAAATAAAAGTTCTCTCCTCTTCCTGTAAATCTGGGAGATGGGGTCACTAAGTAAACTCTGTGTCTTTGGAAAGGATTAGATGAAAACAGATACCTAGGATTTCCTTTCAGTAAACTAAGGCAGTAGAGCTGTCAATGAATGTCAGGGCCATCCTGACTTAATTAGTAAGTGGGCTACCGCTTCCTGAAGGAATAGTTGTGAGGCAAGACCAATTTCCAGAGGTTTTAGTTACAACCCCAAATTATTACTTATCTCGGAATTAAATACTGCAATTTATACTCAAACCCGCAAATGACACAAACACACTCAATGTTCTCTCCCTTCCCTTTTTCCTTCAATATTTCCTCTACTATTATAGCCGAGAGTATAAAACTATACTATACACAAAGGAAAAAGTCAAGATTTAAGCAGAGCTAAGAGTAAGATCTTAAATGTAAAAAAGTATTAGATTTTTCCTGATTCAAAAAAAGGCATTTCGCAAGAAAAATCTGGAAAAGAATGTGCTGAATAGATTCTGCAACTGAAATTCTTAAAAAATTAGTTAAAACAAAAAAGCATCTGACAAGCATTCATATGTGAAAAGCCATCTTTGTCTAAAACTGTTATTAAATATTTTACATGAATTTGCAATAAAAGGCATTGGATTATAAAGCCTTTAATTTAAAGGTACTCCGTAAGGTTCTTAAAACAACTACAAAATGATGTTATAATAATATAATAGTAATATGGAAAATTGTTTTAAAAGTCATTCCATAATCCGAATACAACAAAGTTTTTGTGTATAGTAGTAAGAAAAAAATGTTTAAGAGTCAGATTTGAATTTCAAGTCCAGTCTTACCAGTTACTTTTACTTCCTAGAGCAAGTTACTTACCCTAAGTTAAGGTAAAATAGAAACTTCTCACCTCACATGATGACTCTAAATTAAGTACGTGCTATGTGTCAGGTAACTAATGAAAATTAATCCTTTTTTTTCCTGGTCTTTCTGTTTGCATAAATTGCCTAATGGCCACTATGATGATGTACCTCCACTTTGAATCTCATTTTCTTTTAACATTTTAAAATTATAAATATTTTCCCCTGTTGCTAAATACTTCCAGTTATTATTCTCGTATGTAAAATTCCCACTGTAAGATTCGAACTGCTTTAAATTTGCAGTATAAAAAAAATAAATAAATAAAAAATAAATTTGCAGTATATTTTCACACATAGTGCATTTTGTTTCTTCTGGATTATTTTCTGTGGATAAATTCCTGAAAATGGAATTGTGGTTTCTAAACACATAAACTTACAGCCTTTGATATATTACACCAAGTTGCTTTTCACCTAATTTGTACAAAGTCCAATGAAATTCATTTCTTCTGTTCTAGTTATAATTTCTCACTACTTCTATAGCTTATGTGCCCCAAAACATCCAGTTTCTGTTTTCTAATTTCAAAAAAAAAAAAAAAAGCTCTTGGGTATCAACGCTGACATTAAAAATAAAATTGGTCATTGCCTTGGCAGATGGACATGAATATTTCTACAACTGTAGTCTTTGGAAAGGAAACTAAAATACCAAAAATAAATAAATAAATAAATAAATAAATAAATAAATAAATAAATAAATAAATAAAATACCTTAGTCCTGGATAGAGATGTCTAGTCAGGTTCCGACGTGCTAGGATTTTAAACAATCACGGAAACATCAAAGTTCCACAACCATACGCACTTGGGAAGAGGAGAAACAAGCCCTTGTAATGTTCCTTCCCCTTAATGTCTATGGAAACTCCTGTTTCCTAAAGTAAAGCTGGGTATGGGGACATAATGGTTGCTCAATGTTTTCTCTTTCAAAGTTTAAATATCTGTGCCACAACAACCATGAGGTAGGACTGAACCGTAATCACAACGGTCTGTAAAGTCTAAGCTTCTTCACTTGGCATCGAGGACTTCCTCTTTCACCTTATTTTCCAGTTTCCTGTTCTTACGTCACCACTAATGTCAACAGCACGTGAAACATCCTTTTCTCCTCTTATTTTCCATGTTCTATCCACTCTTTAAGACTATTTCATATATAATCTCCTTTACTAAGTTTTCTCCAAGTCTCCAAACTGGAAGTAATATTGCTTTTGAACTCTCGCCTCATCTGCACCTCTCATACGGCACTTCACTTTCTACCTGCACTATAAGCATTATAATTATCCTGAAAAGAGAAGCTCCTTAAGGGTAGGACCCATGTTGGTTTCCCCCAAAGCACCTGCCATGAAAATATCGGTAGTCAGTAAATATTTTTGAGTTAATGAATTAATTAAAAGGATATACCAAGGGTATAAAGATGAGTCTTCCTGTCTGTAAAGAACTTTTTAAGGTCTACATCTGGAGGTTTGGCATGTTTCTCTTCAAAAACTCCAGTTTTAGGATGTTTGTGTCTGAAGATGAAATGAAGTTTATAATCTTCTCCACATTTATCTGGTCCAAACATAATGGTATAGGATGTTTTATCATAAAAGTTTTCCTTCAAAGAGAGATGAGCGTTGGGATTAGTCCAGAATTAGAGAATTTAATGAATCTTCCTATTGTATCCAATTGAGTAGAGGTCATAAAAATGTATTAAATGCTAATTCACCAAAGAATTATTTGACACAAATGTCAATAAAGGATGTAGAGAAAAGACCATTTTTACTTCAAAAACAGATTTAAAAAAAAATGCACATGCTCCTTCCTTCCTGAAAATGTAGGAGAAGCTGAAACCACCCTAGCAACATCCTAATAAGCTTTAATTACTTTATATAACTCTGTACTATTAACATTTTGTTAAGAAAATTAAGTATAGAGGAAAGCATACTTATGACTACAATAATTACCCATTACTGTTTTTCAAGAAAACACCAGGAAACGACCTTCCTGAGCACAGAGTGAAGAGAGATTCAGACACAAAAACAGACACAGAGACACGCTCCCTGTTTTACTACTAGTAGTTTCTTTTTATTTGGCCTGGTCTGTTAGTTAAAAGCATGGGATATGTTGTCAGATCCTGAGGTTCAAATCCTACCCCTGCCACTTAGCCAGCTGTATGTGGCCCTGAGTAACTTTCTTAGCTTTTGTTGTCCTGTTCCCATTACCTCTCATATATGGAAGTAATAGTTGTACCTACCTTATAAGGTTTCTCTGAGGATTAACTGAGTTAATCAGATAAAGCGCTTAGAGAAATGCTGAGCATTTATTATGCCCTTATACCTCTGAGTCATAGTCCCCTTACAGTACCCAAAACAAGAGCTTCAACATACATTGCAACATACACTGGCCTCCCCTTTAACTAATTTTAATAATAGTAACATGGATTCTCTAATCCATGTTTTTACAGCCTAGCCATGGCCCTGCATTCTGACAAATATGTCACCGGTGTCCCATTTTCCTTATTCTGTTACGCAGAAGCCCCGACACAGCCCCCCGCCCTGCAGAAGAATGCGACAAGAAATGTCTCCAATCCAATACACTTGCTTCATTATGAAAACATTTCTAACCCGGTTATTTTTTTGTGGACTGCCAACTCCTGAACCGGCCCACCCTTTTTATTAGGTTCTTTGGCCATTTCATTTTAGTGCTTTGCTCTGTTATTTTACTTATCTGAGCAAACTTTCGATTCTTAATTCGTAAAAAAAATAAATATAATAATAATAATAATAATAATAATAATAACTAACTGATCTCTCAATGACATTTATAAGCACCATGGTATTTTTTTTACTGTATTATAGGGCAAACTTTATTATGTTGCTAAAGATTACAAAACCAATGCCATAAAAAAAACCAAAAAAACAAAAAACAAAAACAAAACCAATGCCATCAAGTAACATAGCTATGTATGAAACTTAAAGGCACACTCTTAAAGTTATACAAACTCACCCTGGCTAAAGATTTTTAAGGTTCTTTTTTATTTCAGTTGATAACAGAAATTTCAGTTTTCTTAATTACTCCTTAAAAATATTAACTTTAATAAGGTTTTCTTAAACATTAAAATATCATACCAGATTCAAACCATCAGTGTCTGCTAGGAGTTTAATGTATGCACCTCCACAATCAATACCATCTTGAAAATTTACTTCATATCTAAATGAAGGGAAAAAGAATCATACTGCTGATAAATAATTGCTAATTGCTCTTCAAAATCTATGTATTACTCTCAATTCATTTAACATAAATGTTTTTACATTACCAGAAAGCTCTCACAAAGCATATCTAACAACATGTAGGGAATAAGCTGAAATGTTTTTTCTATGCACATCCTTAAAATATTAAAAATAGAATGATTACCATCAACTATAGAAAAGCCAACCAACTTATTGAAATACTTTTTTCCATCAAAACTGCTGAATTAAGAATAAGATACTTTAAAAATATAATAGGAAATTTCAAATTTAGATAAAGTATACACTATGCATATTTCTTTATTAAAGAAAACAAAAATGATGATGACCATAGCTATAGTAACAGATTTCTAAGAAATTTCTGATAGATACATCCAGTTCACTAATTTGTATTTTAGTTCAACTACATCTAAACCACATTAAATAACTTGTACATTTAATTAAGTACCTCCAGCAAAGAGATTTCATGATCTCAATCAATAACCTGGACTACTTTCAGACCTTAGCAGTCAGGAAATACAGAAAAACAACTGAAAGACTAAGCTGATGTGAGAGCCTTTTCATGGATTTGCAACGCTGTGATTTTCAGCAAAAGATTTTTTTGTTGTTTTGTGTTTGTAAAGGAAATAGTCTTGTTTAGGCAGTAGACATAGGAAGCAGTATCTGGGAGAAATTTTTGGTAAACTGATGAATTACATGTGAAATAATCAATGAAAGAGCCCTCAGGGTGAAAACCAGGAAGAACCAAAATGGTTGTTTACTTGGTTTGGTGAATTAAAAGAAAGAGATGAAAACCAGAGAAGCAACAGGAACCAGTGCTAATTTTAAGGAAGGGCTGCAGTTAAAAATGTCTCTAAAAAAACTTCAGTGATACAAAGTAAAAATAAACAAACAGAAAAATAGCATACAGAACTCTTGACAGTTTGAACCTAATTAGTGTATATATTTTGCACTGAAAAGAACAAAGGAAATACGGTAAAATTTTAAGTGATTGTCTGCATTGCCAGATTATGGGGTGATCCTTCCCCCCACTTTCTCCTCTGCTTCTCAAGAAGCCTACAAGCGGTGGTTACAAGCATGTACTGTGGAGCCAGAGACCTGAGGTTTATTCTTAATTCCGCCACTTACTCTAGCAACACCTAGGGTAGGGCAAGTTACTCAAGCTCGAGGACCTCAAAAGATTGCGATGCTTAAATGATAATGCCACACATGGCGCTGGACAGATGCCCAAAATGTTAGCTGCTATTATGACCAGAAGAAAGGGTTTGTTCTTCTCTACTTTTTAAATAAAGGACAGTTTGTTTTCCTCAAAGCCTTGTCACTATTTTTATTCTAGGCAGCGACAAAGAAATTTTTTTCTCATGGAACATGTTCTTAGAGACTATAAAGTGGGACCCTTGGGGGACTCAGCGGTTTAGCGCCTGCCTTAGGCCCAGGGCGTGACCCCGAGGTCCTGGGATCGAGTCCCGCATTGGGCTCCCTGCCTGGAGCCTGCTTCTCCCTCTGCCTGTGTCTCTGCTTCTCTGTGTCTCTCATGAATAAATAAATATAATCTTTTAAAAAAAAGACTATATAAAGTAAAACAAATGGTGCACAGGGGCAATTAACAGTAAATGTTAATTATTTTAGGTAAAATAAAATAAAAAGATAGTTTTATTATAGGTGATCTAAGGACAAAGTGTTCTGTGAAAACATTAAGAACTGAAAAAGACAATTTTGTAAACTGTGTCTCTAAATATAAACATGGCTTTGTGGTTGTAATATGCCTAGATCCAATTATTGTGTCTATTTCTCAACACTGCAAACTTTCAGAGTTTTCAAACCATTAACTTGTGCCCAGTATGACTGTGAAAGGATTCACAGATTAGAGATCAGTGAAATGTGTGTCATTAGTCACACGGAAAAGGAGGACGTGTAAGAGGATGTGGCACTCTTATTTTGAGTCAGAGCATCATTCCCCACACTGTCCTAGGAGGCAGTAATTACGGTTACGGGGAAAGTTCTGTGGTCAGATACGTCTGGAAAACACAGTACTGAAGTCAGAAACAGGTTTTTGCACGCAGCACTTCTCCAACTCTTTAAAGCGCAAGCAAATACGCTTCCCTAGGCCTGCAGATAGGACACTCTTCATATCTGAAACTTACGTGATCCCATAAAGCATATTAACACATACACCATTTGAGAAAAGCAGCTTTAGAGCAAAGTTATATTATGAATTCATAGTATTTTTATTAATTTAAAATCTATTTATCCCATTTCATTTTATCAATATTAAGACATTCACTCTCCTTCTTTGAGTTATTTTTAAGCATATCAAAGACTGCCATTCAATTTTTCTTGGCCATCCTCTTCTTTTTTTCAAGATATAATTTCACAATTACTCAGTAATTTCACAAGTACTAAATGTGATTCATTTTACTCAAAATATTACGCTATTACTCTTCTTTACCCTTTCATTTAAGCCACAGTCAAAATAGAAAGTGATATTATATTCAACTAAGTTTCAAAAGAATAAGATTACTTTCAAACTTCCAAGAAAAAAGAAAAACCAAACCCTGAATAATGACAAATAATATCAAGCTCAAATATTAGTTCCAGTAAGTACTTATACAAATATTTTTGTTAAAATAATAGTCATATAATCTTTGACATTTAAAATTTTAGATTTATGGACATGAGAGTGCAACTAAAGCCAAACAACACAACAGAAAAATTAAGCCAATTATACCAAATGCCATATTTCCAAAAAATTCTAAAATACAAAATGGCATTCTAGTTATACTATGTAGGAACATGTTTAACATATTAACAACAAAAAAAAAGAAGGGGTTCTAGAGTGATATACTTTATGGGCAATGATATTTCTTTGTGTTGTACTTAACTTTGGACAGCCAAATCTTCTAACATAAGGGAGAAAATAACATTTATGCATTTTCTTTTGTTTTTAATATGAATTTTATCAGCTTTGTAACTCGATTTGTATAGATTTATTTTGTTTTAGACCCATTTTATATAGGTGAATCTTGAGGAATTTATACCTGATTTTATGACAGTACACATATAAGCAACATCATCATAAAGCCAGTTTATGTCACGCTGTGGCGGAGGGGAGAGAAGGACTGTCTCTGAAAACGTGTGCCCTCTGATAGGATGAGCACCGGGTGTTCTATGCGACTTCGAATCTCTAAATTACTTCTGAAACTAATAATACGCTACGTGTTAATTAAATTGAATTTAAATTTTAAAAAGTAAAAAAATAAAAGGGCTCTATGCTTGGAAGATAACTGATCTACATATGCGTATTCTTTCTAAGAGAAATTTGTTTCCTCTGAATCTTATAACTGGTTTAACAGTAATATTTCCGGTTCTAGTCTGAATTTACTGAAGTTAATATCTGCAGAGCAAGTAGTTTTAAGAAAAGAGTTAAAATAAAAACAGTGATTGTTGTATTATGCAGCCTATGGTGGCAGAATTTTTTATATAACAGTATATATTACATAATTCTTAAATTAACCTGCTGTTCCCTCAAATCCTCAGAGGATCTAGGTGTATACACGCATTGTATATTTAGGTAAGTGAAATTGAAATCGAAATCTGGATTTTTATGCCCATTTTATAACCATCATAGCTATAATCAGAAGCCAAAATATATAAAACTAATACAAATTTCAGAAAAAGTACTGAAAAACACAATACAACTTACTGAACGATCAAGGGTTTGTCAGCAAAAATGAAGGGTTTTGCTAATACAGCAGCTATTGCATGATGCTTTGCTCTAGATTTCAGTACCAGCCCTCTGTCACCAGGCACTCGGTTTTCTTTCAATTCTTCTATTTCCCATCTTCCTAAAACATAAAGCAAAGCAATTAAACTAAAACTCAAAACACTGCCTTACAAATTACTGACCAGCAGTGACCAATATTTTCATGAAGACTAATTTAGGAAAAATAAAGTTTTAAAACAAGAAATAATATCTGCAACTGTATGCATGTCTGCTCTTTTCGGCTCCTATCAGAGTGGTTCCATTTTCTTAGATAAAATTGGACTATATTTCTCTGCCTTTTCAATCCATGAAATTACAGAACGTGGTCTGTCTCACGGATGTATCAACACTGGATTTTTAAAATGAGATATTTTAGGGGGCCCTGGGTGGCTCAGTGGTTGAGCATCTGCCTTTGGCTCAGGGCGTGACCCGGGGGTCCCGGGATCGAGTCCCGCATGGGGCTCCCTGCATGGAGCCTGCTTCTCCCTCTGCCTGGGTCTCTGCCGCTCTGTGTCTCTCGTGAACAAATAAATAAAGTCTTTAAAATAAAACAGAATGAGATATTTTTAAATTACAGATAAGATAAAGAGCATTCTTAACACAAAATAAACAGATTGCAACAGTCGATTTATTTTGAAATATATGGTACTCATCAGCTACTTTTCTTACTTTGCAAAAGTTACTACAGGGATTTAGGAGTACCTGGGTGGCTCAGCTGAAAGAGCATGTGACTCTTGATCTTAAGGTTGTTAAGTCTGAGCCCCCATGTTGGTGTAGAGATTACTCATATAAACAAAAGTTAAAATAATAAAAAATAAATTTAAAAAAGTTATTGTGGGCATTTTGAAAACCATATGGCTAATGAACATCAGTTAAGGTCACCCTTCTCAGGCTAGGCCAGTTAGTCCTCAGAACTTTTGGCCAAGAAAGTAGCAAGCACTGGATAAGCACGTAGCTGTAATATGGTAAAGTTGAGTTAGCTCCTCTCTGGGCTGGGATTTTCCATGTTTTAGATCAGAAAGCTCCTGAAATTAGATCATGGGCTACAAATCTTGTAAAGTTCAACGGGCTGCCTGTAGCCCAAAAGTTGTGTGTTGGACTTTTCCTTTTTTAGAACAGAAAATAACCAAATCATATTAATTTGTATAAAATATTCTAGTTTTGAGAATTATAGGTATTGCCTTTTCCAAGGATAATCAAATTAGCAAAAACTAGCTATTTTCCAGTATTATACTAACTTTGAATATTGACAGGCACTTATGAATCACTATTGCTCTTTATATTACTTTTTTTCCTTCCTAAAAAACAAAAAACCAACAGTGCAAGAACCTCAACAGTCCTGAGCCAGAAAGTATTTTTTGGTCTATCACTGTGCAGAATTTATTGGGCTTTATAAAATGCATTTTTAAAAGTTCATAGGTTTCTATTCCTTTTTCTCTCCCTAATTTGGTTATACTATACCTCTCTAAGAAAGATGAATTCATTTGATATTTTTTCTCTCACATTGATAATAAATTGTATTATCACTACTAACCTGCGGTTTCAGCAAAAGAAAAGGTATTCTTTTAGGAAATAATAACTTTATCTTCAGGATCTTCAGAATATTTAAAGAATTTTTAAAACTATCTTGTCTTTTTTTCTTGCAATTATGCACATATATTTATCAGCTATGCAAAAGGCACCATCTAGCACTTTTAGAAAACTTGTGACAGGGAAATTATTGCTCAATGACAAGAGGTTTTCCCCAATTTCAAATAATCAATAACTTTCTATTAAATGATCACATAGCCAAATTCTAGGCAATCAGTGAATAGAAGTTCTAGTATAAATAAAAAAATTTAAGATTTCATTTATTTATTTATTTATTTATTTATTTATTTTAAAAGAGAGAGAGAGAGAGAGAAAGAGAGTGTGTCGGTGGGGGAAGGGGCAGAGGGAGAGAGAGAATCCCAAGCAGACTCCATGCTGAGTGCACAGCCATCCCATGACCCTTAGCAGAAACCAAAAGTCAGATGCTTAACCAACTAACCCACCCAGGAATCCCAATTCTGGTGAAAATAAAAATTTTCAAAGGATTTCACATGGTTTTACATCCTGAAAATTGGTCACTTAAATAACTGGTATTTATTCGATATTTATACTTTTATTAATAACTCAATCTGGAAAATGTGAGTTTATTCCAAATGCAAACTCTATATCCCAGCATGTTTCATAGGTGTGCTTACTCCTGAAAAGTTCAGAATGAGCTTTATTCAGGTGGCACCTGAAGAAGCTGCCATTAACTACCGTGAATAATATTCCTGCAAAAGAATCTAATATTATTAATCTCAACCTACCACTTTGTAAACAATGCTACTACTATCAATACCCAAAATACCATTTTCAGGATCTAGAACTTTAGCAGATTCCATATTTTCTGAAGTTGCTTTCAAGACATTGACAAAAGCCATTCAGAAACTACACTAAATCTAACTTGTGAGAAAATTATTTTCATGGATATTTGTTTAATGAGACTATAGACAAAATCTGGATGATAAGTTTGGTCTTTTGCTTGCTTGTTCGATTTTTAATTTTGAACTGGAGAAAAAACTCATTTAAACATTAAAAGCCACTTTTGTCTGGCAAGAAATAGATATTTAAACTCACTTGTAAGATAGACCATAGCTTAATTTTACCAAACTCAATGGATATCTACTTAAATGTGAAACAGATATCTACTCAAATATTTTGTTTTGTTTTGTTTTGCTTCAGTTACCTCTACACCCAGTGTGGGACTCGAATGCACAACCTTGAGATCAGGGATCACATTCTCTTCTGACTGAGCCATTCCTGGCATCCCTAAACACAGATGTTTTAAGCCAAACATTCTGTTTAATAATGTACATTTCCGTGGGCATATTTTAGGTTGCATTACATCTCTGCAGACTTCCTGCTTCTTTGAGGAAAATTATTCTTTTCTCTAAATGGATTTAGACTAAATGCAATATTGCTTGATCCATGTATGGTAGGGCTCTTTATGGAGAATATAAGCACATACAAACCCAAAGGAAGTGCTGGGATGGAGAACACTGCAAAGGGAGACATGCAGGTACAATCTTCATCTCACACTAAAATAAACTATGAAAAGGAAGTCAATAGGTGACATCCTACACATGCTATTATCTCATGTACTATTCTTGTTATTGTTCTCATGTAACAGCCTGTTGGAGTCTGCGTGTGAGGTCACATCCTTATAAGCATGAGGTCCTCTGAGAGAGGGAATTCCCATGATCAGGCACCTTGAGAAAAGGCTGATCTTGCTTAGGATACAACCAAGGAGGAGGCTGATTTTAGACTACAAAGAGAAAGAAATTCTTCCTTCATACTCCAAAAAGTCCTCTTGGGGAAGAAAAGATGACTCTTGCATACAGGACCTTTCTTTCTATGGTTAACCCTCAAGATAACCCTAGCAGAGACCCAATAGTAGTGGATGTAAGGCCCTGAGATCCGAGCTCCAGGAGCAGCCACATTTCTTGTAGCTCTCATAAATTACCCTCTATTCTGCTCTGGCTAGGACAATCTTGCCCTCAGTTACAACTTGATATAAGTGTGCCCATGCTTGAGATGAAACAACAGAGAACAGCGGGAGCCAGGGAAATACTGCTGCTGGACATGTAGTGACTAACTGCAGTGGAATGAAAATTCAACTCTTCCGAGTTAGGAAACCCGATGGTGACTTAAGCATGGATCGCCCAGAGACTTCCAGAAATATCAGAAAGGAGACAAAGGACTGAACATTCTGCTGTGAAGCACAATGGGGCCCCGGACTACATATATTTAAGAGAAATATAATCTCAAAAGCTAGCAAACTCTGGACTCGTACTGGTTTTATCGAAAGTTTAAATAAATATTTTACCATCATATATGGAAATCTCTGCATCTGTATCATCTTTCTTTGCTTTTGATAAAACCCACCTGTAAATAAAGGTGAAAGCAAATATGTATCATTAAAAATAAAACCAGCAATTTATAGACACAATGAATATTGGAAATATAACAAAAGACTACCCAATAGTCACTTCTCATTAAAAAATAAATGCTTAGAGGCTGCACAAAGATGCCCATATAGAATCTTGCAAGGCTACAGTTAAATCATATTTGGAATCCACAATCTACTAGTTGTATGATCATATTTAAGATATGTTAAGCCTCAGTTTCCTCACCTGTAAAATGAAGATAAAGATAGTATTTACCTATCCCCTTGGGGCAGTGTCTGGTAAATAATAATCAATAAATAGTAACATTTATTTTTTTACCAATATTTAGGATGGAACAGTAGTTTGAATGTCATTTGAAATCAGATTCATAATATCTGTCTTTAGGAATGAAGAAATGTCATAAATTTTTACTATTCTCATAATTCATTTGTATTATTTTCTTTATATAAATGGCTTCAAGTTAAACATTTCTATCCACAACAAAAATGTGTTAAGGTACTGGTTTACACTGTCAAATAAAGTACTTTAACATTTTTTATAGTTCTGTAGTAGAGGCAATTTTCATAGGCCAATAACCAAAAACTTCAAAAAAGCTAATTAAATCAAAGAAAACAAATCAAGAGAATTGAATGAATACTCACCCAGCCAACCTTCCACTATCAAAAGTTTCTGTAAAATATACTTCTCCCATAGGCTGAGGTGTCTTATAATTAATCTAGAAAATAGAGTTTTTAAAATCTAAAGTTAATCATCTTCGCAAATATTTTCATTAAATAATCTCACTAGTTAAGAACCTAGTTTGTAATGCACATATAGGTAAAATAGATAAAAAATGACATGGCCTCAAAACTTCAGATCCTTTTGCACTAACATACAGGAGAATATCAGAGATACGATGACAGAAAAAAAAAAACTGTAAGCGCAAACAGAGAATACACTGATTCCTTCTAATACAGGAGGGACGGGAAAAAAATTCTACCAGAGAAGGCCTCATGACACAGCTGACATCGCTTTGAAAGGGTCCTAACAGGTGACAATCTTTGGAAATATAAATCATTAGAAACAGGAAATAGCATGATCCAACACATATAAGATGAAAAACTTAGCAAGCATATAGACTGGTTTAAGATTAACTGTTACATTTTACTGTTACAGGTTAGAGGAGGAGGATACCATTTTGAGAGATGAGGAACCCAGAAAAGAAAAAGATTCAATAGAGAAAGATCTGCAAAGCACAGCTTCAAGTGCCCTATAAGTGTTAGCTGCTATGATGGTGGTAATTAAATTGGTGCTAGTGACACGGTGGTTCTTTTAATCCTCATAAGACTTCTGAGAGCAAAATACTATCATTGCACTCATATTATATCAACTGTTGCGCACTTAGATGGTTACAGGCCATGATGGGACTCCAGCTGTCTGGCTTCAAAGCTCATACACTTAACCACTATGCCATAAAGAACACACCACCAAAACCATTTAAAAGACTATAAAGATTATTTGACAAATTATCAAAAGATAATTTGAATTGATGATGAATGAATAAATTCTGCCTAAAGTAACAGATCAAGTTGGGTCCTTTCTGAATCAATCTCTGTGATTCAATCTGTGTGACTATGAGATTTCTTTTCTCAGCCTTTAGGGAAAAGGATGAAGCGCTTTTTCTATTCACTACCCCTACCCTAACCTGATAGTACATTTCCTGTCTAAGGGGGGGTAGACATCAATAATCAAACATAACTGTATGTAATGTAATTACTGACAAGGTCAAGGTTCCACGTCCCATCGTTTTTTTTTTTTCTCAAATGTCACCAAATGCAGTTAGAGTGGTAGGTATCTCCTAACTCCTTTGAAGTATTAACCTCCAGAGACCCTTGCAGGGACTGTACCTAAGTCCATCATCAGCTCTTTGATTCCTTACTCTCTCTAGATGGCATAGCTGGGTCTTTAAAAGAAACGCCCTTACGGAGTTTAAAATTTAACAAGAAGCAGAATATTGACCTTAAACAGCTAAACAACACCTTTCATCTGCAAATAAAAAGCTCTCATGGTAAGTGAGGCCAAGAAGTCTGTACCAGCTCAAGGCTATGGCCCTCGGCCCCTTAAGCGGGCGTCCTTACCCTCAAAAAGATTTCTGAAAAACTTCCTGATTGTCCCCAGATTACCTAGGACGACTCCTCGATGTAAAAGTTCTTCTGGATCGTCAGGATGTACAAAAATCTCTGCAAGGTTTTTCAGACTCCCGTTAGTCACCGCCTCAAAACACATCTTGACGCTGAACCAGAAACCCAGATGAGCCTTATGACAGGCCCCCTGCATGATCACCTCCCTTTCTGATTCCTCCTCCTACTTGACATTTCCTTTCCTTAGAGGAGTAAGAAAACCTACTTAACTTTACTTCTAGGAAGAACTGCAAATTATACGATCTTCTATCTGAAGAAGACTAGCAGTGTCAGAAATAAGGTTGAAAACCTTTCTCTTAGACACAAGTCCTCAGTCCTCTTCAGCCAGGGACAAATTCCTATTATGACAGTAAAAACCTTCCCCATATTTACTTAGCAATAAAACTGTGCTAGGTGCAATGCATACATTTCTGTAATACATGGGCACTCTAAAACACAGCAGGAAAAAAATAAAATAAATAAAATAAAAAATAAAATAAAATAAAACACAGCAAGAACTAGCCAAAAAAACAAAACAAAACAAAACAAAACAGTGTTTTTCTATTTGTTTAGAAAATGAATACTATTAGAACTGAAATGAATCTTAAGAGGTCACTGTCCTCGGTATCCTGAAAAGAAAGAACTTACAACTCATTTCTCAGTAACCATACCTCTGAGGGAAGTTCACCTTCATTAACATCAATCTCTTCTGAATTTTCATCAAAATCTTCCATCTCAACACCATCATCCATAAATTCTGCATTAACTGAGATGAACAGAAGTCCCAGACATAGCCAAAAGCTTTGGAAATGCATACTGATTACCTGTGAAGTTAAAAATTTATCAGTGAAAATAAAAGTTGTGAAAAATATGTATGTACACTTAACAAAGAAATACTTTCTCTTTAATACCTCCTCTATCTAAGATGGCCTTTAAAATGACTCATTAACAAAATTATTTAAATTATACCTTGAACAAATGAAAGTACAAACTTCAAATCCCACAGGACACAGATTCTAGAGCTACCTACCTGCCTCTAAAAACAAAGAGCCAAGGGGCACCTGGGTGGCTCAGTCAGTTAGGTGGCTGACTCTTGGTTTGGGCTCAGGTCATGAGATCCAGCCCCACATACCACTCCACCCAGCAAGGAGTCTGCTTGTCCCTCTCCCTCTGCCCCTGTGCATGGTCTCTTTCCTAAATAAATAAATAAATAAATAAATAAATAAATAAATAAAATCCTTAAAAAACCCAAGAGCCACATAACACCTAAAGATATCAACAACAGTGATTATCAAACTCAAATAATATGTGGACCCTTTTAAAAAAAGAAAGGAGTATCATGATTCTCAAATGTTTATTTTTTATTACAATCTTGCTTAAATATATATAAACATAGAGTTTCATAATTATTAAACCAAAGTATATTACATATAAGCACCAAAAAAAACTAAAGAAAAATAATTTTATCACAATTTAATGTGACAGTCTTTTCCTGAATCAAATCACAGCTAAAAAAACAAATCAAAACAAAAAAACGAATAAATAAATATAGGACTTATCAGGTTGACTGTATTAAATAATGTTCTTTTACATTTAACATAATACTTTGAAGACTCAATAATCAAACTATTTCCCCATTTAAATACTGCAAAATGTCTTTTCCTCATTATAGTATTACTTGAGTAGAAACCAAATATAATTTGGCTGCCCCTTGGCAGAAACATATGATTTGTATAATTATGTTTTGCTCTATTTCCACTAACGTGTTAAAATTCAAGTTAAGAATCTGCTTCTTAAAAAAAAAAAGAATCTGCTTCTTGGTTTCTTTTTTTTCCCCTTTGTTTCTTAAAATTCCACATATGAGTGAGATCTCATGGTATTTGTGTTTCTCTGATTTATTTTGCTCAGCATAATACTCCTAGTTCTGTGTTGTTGCAAATGGCAAGATTTTTGTTCCTTTGTTATGGCTGAGAAATACTCCATTGTCTACGTACACCACAACTCCACAACTATATCCATTCATCCATCAATGGACCCTTGGGCTGTTTCCTTGGTTTGACTATTATAAATAATGCTGCAACAAACATAGGGGCACATATACCCCTTGAATCAGTGGTTTTGCATTTTGGGGGTAAATACCCAGTAGTGCAATTCCTGGATTATAGGGTAGTTCTATTTTAATTTTTTGAGGAACTCCCATACTGTTTTCTACAACGGCTGCATCAGTTTGCATTCCCACCAACAGTGCAAGAAGGTTATTTTTTCTCCACATCCTTATCAACATTTGTGTTTGTGTTTTGATTTTAGCCATTCTGACAGGTGTGAGGTGATATCTCATTGCAATTTTGATTTGCATTTCTCTGATGATGAGTGACAGTATCTTTTCATATTTGTTGGCCATCTGTATGTCTTCTTTGGAGAAATGTCTGTTCAAATCTTTTCCCCATTTTTAATGGACTATTTGGTTTTTGGGTGTTGAGTTGTATCAGTTCTTCATATATTTTGGATACTAACCCTTTATCAGTTTGCCATTTGCAAATATCTTCTCTCATTCCATAGGTTTTCATTTAGTTTTGTTGATTGTTTCCTTCACTATGCAGAAATGTTTTATTTTTATGTCATCCCAATATCTTATTTTTGCTTTTATTTCCCTTGCCTCGGACACATACTTAGAAAAGCATTGCTGTGGCCAGTGTCAGATTATTGTCTGTGCTCTCTTCAAGAATTTTTATGGCTTCAGGTTGCACATTTAGGTCTTTAATCCATTTTGAGTTTATTTATGCATGTGGTCCAATTTCATTCTTTTGCATGTAGCAGTCTAGTTTCTCCAACACCATTTGTTGAAAAGACTTTTTCATTGTATATTCATTCCTCCATCGTCGAGGATTAATTGACCATAGAATTGTGGGTTTATTTCTGAGTTTTCTATTCTGTTCCATTATCTATGTGTCTATTCCTATGCCAGTACCATACTGTTTTAATTACTACTACTTTGTAATATAACTTGAAGTCTGGAATTGTGATGCCTCCAGTTTTATTTTTCTCTTTTAAGATTGCTTTGGCTATTCAAGGTCCTTTGTGATTCCATACAAATTTTAGGACTGTTTGTTCTAGTTCTGTGAAAACTGTTGTTGGTATTTCAGTAAGGATTGCATAACTGTGTAGATTGCTTTGGATGAAATAGACATTTTAACAACATTTTTTTCTTCCAATCCATGAGCATGGAAATGTCTTTCTGTTCCCTTGTGTTGTCTTGAATTTCTTTCATCAGTGCTTTACAGTTTCCAAAGTACAGGCCTTTCACCTCTTTGGTTACATTTATTCGTAGATATTCTATTGTTTTGGGTACAATTGTAAATGGCATGGCTTCCTTAGTTTCACTTTTTGCTGCTTCATTATTAGCATATATGAATGCAGCAAATTTCTATACATTGATTTTGTGTCTTGCAACTTTACTGAATTCATTTATCAATTCTAGTAGTTTTTTTGGTGGAGTCTTTATAGAGTTTTCTATATATAATATCATGTCATCTGCAAATAGTGAATTTTACTTCTTCCTTACCAATTTGGATGACTTTTATTTCTTTATGTCATCTAATTGCTGTGGCTTGAACGTCCAGTAGTACGTTGGAATAAAGGTGGTGAGAGTGGATATCCTTGTCTTGTTCCTGACCTTAGGGGGAAACTCTCCATTTTTCACCATTGAGTATTGTGTTAGCAGGGGTTTTCATATAAGGCTTTTATTATTTTGAGATATGTTCCCTCTAGACCATTTTTTTTTCCATGAATGGATGTTGTGCTCCTTCAGATGTTTTTTCCACATATACTGAAACGATCACATGGTTTCAATACTTTCTCTTATTGATGTGATGTATCATGTTGATTGTTTTATGATTATTAAACCTTGCAATCCAGGAATAAACCCCATTCGATTGCAGTATATCATTTTTTAAATATATTGTTGGATTCAGTTTGCTAATATTTTGCTGAGGATTTTTGCATCTATATTCATGAGAGATATTGGCCTGTAGTTTTCTTTTTTGGTGATGTTTTTATCTGGTTTTGGTATCAGGATACTGGCCTCATAGAATGAATTTGGAAGTTTTCCTTACTGTTGTATTTTTTGGAGTAATTTGAGAAGAATACGTATTAACTCTTTTTTTCAATGTTCAGCAGAATTTGTCTGTGAAGCCATCTGGGCCTATAACTTGTGTTTGTTGAGGTTTTTTTTTTTTTTTTTTTTTTTTTACTGATTCCATTTCAATGCTGGTGATTGGTCTGTTTAAATTTTTTATTTCTTCCTGCTTTAGTTTTGGTAGGTTACACATTTCTAGGAATTTATCCATTTCTTCTAAGTTGTCCAATTTGTTGGCATATAGGTTTTCAGAATACTCTTGTTTATATTTCTGTGATGTCAGTTGTTATCTTTCCTCTTTCATTGGTAGTTTTCTTTATTTGGGTTCTCTCTCTCTCTCTCTCTCTCTCTCTCTCTCTCTCTCTCTCTTTCTCTCTTTTTAAACAAATCTTGCTAGAGGTTTATCAATTTTGTTGTCTTTTCAGAGAACCAGTTCCTGTTTCCATTGATCTGCGATTAGAACCCTCCCTAATGAGATCAAAACTTTATGTGAATATGTGGGCCAGTTAGTCTTGATTTCTTCTATGGAACACTGGCTATATAACACTAAAATTTACTTTGAAAAACGCATGTTTTCAGATGTCTGAGTGGCTCAGCGGTTGAACGTCTGCCTTCAGCTCAGGGTGTGATCCTGGTCCGGGGATCGAGTCCCACATCGGGCTCCCTGCAAGGAGCATGCTTCTCCCTCTGCCTGTGTCTCTGCTTCTCTCTGTGTCTCTCATAAATAAACAAATAAAATATTAAAAAAAAAAAGAAAAAGAAAAACTCATGGTTTTAAAAAAATCAACACCAATCACCCATAATAAGGATATTCTATATTAACAAGTATATTAATACAACCCTCTTTATGGACAACATAAAAAATGATGTATGCTGTTATGTGCTAGAAGAGTTTGAGTTTCCTGAATCATAAGTAAGAGGTGTAACTGACATAAGAAGTAATTTTTAAAAAAATTTTATTTATTCATGAGAGGCACACAGAGAGAAGCAGACACAGGCAGAGGGAGAAGCAGGCTCCATGCAGGGAGCCCAACGTGGGACTCGATCCCCTGATCCCGGGATCATGACCTGAGCCAAAGGCAGATGCTCAACCACTGAGCCTACCAGGTGCCCCGAGGTAGAAAGTAAATTTAAGGAGATCATTTTGATTCAATAACCATAGCTTGGTTTATTTAAATATTTTTACTTATTGGCACAGGAATAAGTGCATATGCAAATTGTTTATGAATTGTTAATGATTCTAAAAGCTTCAGTTCTCAAGTTTTAAGAGAGTCCCACTATTTCCATAATGTAATAAAGTGTTTTGCTTGACTCGCTATCAGTAACATTTAAGTAAAACAGAAGTGCATAATAGCAGCAATAATGACCATTAATATCACTGTGATCCATATCTTCCCCTTCAAAATGAACACACACTTTACCTTCTTAATAATTAATTTGTTGGAAAAATATATTCTAAGTGCTTTGTTCTGGTGTATTGAGCTGCTGGGAAAGTTAAAAGGAAATCAAGCACACAGTGCTGTCTCTGGAACCCTATTCTTCAGCCAGAGCAACCCCATTCTATTTTCTGTATTACAATTCTTCCTAACTTTCCTTCAGGAATAAATAGTTGACAAAGCTTCAGGAAAAAAAAAAAGTCTAGAAAACCTTTCATCTTAAAAGTCTGTCTTGTCTCTAAATTTCTATGAC